TTGCAGTTCTGCAAAGAGTGGGGTGATGTGATTAAGGAGAATAACAGGAAGTCTTCAGAGACAAGATTCTCTGAAGAAAAGACATTTATGCTGCCAGGACCTGTGGATGGACAGGAAAAGTGGGTGGGTGGGGTAGGGGATACCGCAGGCCAAGTCTGAGGCAGGATCGCACGTGGGGACAAGTGTGGCAGGAAGCAGGACTCGGCAGGACAATGGGGGCTGGGGGGAGGGGGTGGGTGCTAAATGTGGGTTTGAGATCAGGGCACTCTAGGCCTGGCCTGCAGTGGTGTAGACCACACTGCTGATGGCCCCGATGGTCCCTTGGCCCTCGTGGGTGACTGAGCTGCTAGGGTACACATTGCTGACCCACTGTCCCATGATCAGTGAGACCCAGGTGGTGAGCAGGACTTACTCTCCCGACCCAGGCTCAGACAACGGACACGGTGGCATCAGGAGTTCTCCACCCTCAAACAGCTGCTGCTGACAACGCTCAGCATGTGGTGTGGCAGCAAGACCAGCAGGTGGCAGCATGGAAATGGCTCTGGAAGCCCGAGTTCTGTGGGAAATGTTGGGAAAATGCCACCCAAAGGTGACAGCAAGATGACCTGTCATCTCAGGCCGGCCCTGGATGAAGAAACGTTCACTCTAGCCCTCTGATTGTAAATGTGGCCAGTGTGCCAACCTGGTTCTCCTGCCCAGCCAACCACCCTCTGCTTCTCCCGAAAGAGGCATGAGGAGAGAGTAGCACTGGGTGCTTCTGTGTCCTGCCCTGCCTTCTGGGGCCCAGTGTCCCCTTCGCGGGAGTTCCTCCTGGTTTGCAGGACTGATTGCAGACCAGAGTTCAAGATGCTGTTTGACTCTGGTGGAACGTGCTGACTTCGATTCAGAAATACTTGAATGTAGAATGCTTTTGTCTTGACATCCTTTCTTGCCTCATCCTGGGGACTCTATTGTCCCTCTCGATCATTCGTGCATTCAAGCAAAGAGGACCTGAAGCACGTGCTAATGAAGATCAAAGACTGCAAGCATTAAAGGTGGATTGCATCTCAACACGAAGAAAGCAAACACCTTCACAGGGGACCAGGATGAGAGCGACACTGAAGGTTTCACTTACGTGGATCCAGGCAGTGCCCAGGGGAGTAACACCAAGAAACCAACAGACAGACTGCGTGGGCAAAACCGCTGCCCACGACCCCTCCGAACCGCTAAAAAGCCAAGATGCCACCTTGAAGACCAAGGTCCTTCTGACCCAAGTCACGGTATTTTCAGTCACCTCATATGCTTGCCAAAGCTGGACAGTGGATCAGGGAGCCCCAAGAAAAATCGATGCCTTTGAGTGATGGTGCCGATCAAGAGTGTTGTATGTGCCACGCGCTTCCAGAACTAACGAATCCGTTTCAGAAGAAATAGAGGAAGAATACTCTAAGAAGAGAGCATGGTGAGACTCTCACACATCCTTTGGGCATGTTACCAGAAGACCAGTCCCTGGGGAAGGGCATCGTGCTTGGTGCGGAAACAGAAGGTCGGTGACAGAGAGGCAGCCCCTCAATGAGATGGAGTTACACCTGGCGGTGACAGTGGTCTCCGCGTGGGAGCAGGTGTGAAGGTGGCGCGGAACAGGGCAGAACGTCCCTCTGCTGTACACAGGCTTGCTTTGGAACCAACGTCACAGCGCCTGACAAACAAGCAAACAGAGACCAAGGCCCTTCATAGCAGAAAACTGGCAACGCCACTGTTCCTGTTGGTTCCCCATCGTGAACAGCCCCCATCTCTGTGCTGGAGGCTCACTGAGTCTCCATTCCCCTGACCGCCAGTTGAGTTGGCCAGCTCACAGTGACTCTTTAGCTCAGAGCAGAACTGGCCCTGCGGGTTTCCGAGACTGAATTTTTCTAGGAGTACAAAGTTTCATCTTTCTTCCATGGAGCAGGTGGTCGTTTCGAACTGCCGACCTTGTGGTGTGCAGCCCGACCTTGGGGGTGTACTGGGCTACGAGGCGAGCAGTCCCTCTGTGGGAGAAAGATGAGACTTCCCCCTCCGGTGAAGATTGGCCGTCTCGGAAACCCACAGGGGTGGTTCTGCAGTGTCCTGTAGAGTTGCTAAGGGGCCGTTTTGTCATTGTCCTTTCTGACATCCGTCCATAGTCTGCCCTTCCTTCCTCCTCTGTGGTGGTGAGCAGTCCACGGAGGAGGGGGAAGCACCCGTTTAGGAATGCCAGAGGAGACAGGAGCATCCGGCTCGGACCCCAGCCCTGCACTCGGAGGCTGGGCTTGGGCACCGAAGTAGCCTCGCCACCCTGCTGGTCATTCTCTTCTGCTGTTTCGGGGACCAGGACATGAGCCACTGTGCCTGAACCCTGGCAGACATGCTGTGATGCCTGGTAAAGACGCATCTCTGCCTCTTCCTGATAAGCGCCTCCTTGTGTCAATCCAAAGGGGAGAGAGCGGGGCCTCATCCTCTCACTTCTTACTCGGACTTCCTGCTGTTGCTGCTGCTGAATTTAGGCACCGAACAGAGAACCCGTCCACAGGCTGATTCTGCAGCGGATAGGGGTCCTCAGTGGTTCCCCACACCCCCACCCCGTGTAGTGAGTCCCCCCTCTCTCTGTGTCTTCACTGTGGGGACGGGAGGCCAGTTTGCTCATCATCACAGTGAGGTTGTATCGCTCTAGAGCTCCGGGGTCCCTGGGCTGTGCTTCCCATCAGGCACTGCCCAGAGGGGCGGCACCAAAGGAAACCCAGTGCTGCCATCATGGCAGTTCCAAGACCGGTGATCCTGGTCTCTGAGACTCTTCGATCTTTACGGAGGGCAACGGCCTCACCTGCCTTCCGCGGAGTAGCTGGTGGGTTCAGACGTTTGATCCCCGGTGCCAGCAGGGCTTCGTCAATACTAGTAGAACGCGTACTGATTCAGAACTCTCGTCTTGAAGTGAAAAGGTTGGGCCAATCGCCTTCCCCCCTCCCCAGCGTTGGTGTATCTTTGCATTACAAAGAGGCAACGTTTTTCATAGAGCCTGCACGCAAGCCAGGGGCTCTGTCCCTGTGCACACATGAGGCATCTTTCCCAGAAAAGCGCAGCTCAGTGCCTGGTGAGCGTGTGCAGGCTTTCCTTTGGTCCCTCATCCAGCAAGAGGGCTGAGTGCAGACTCCGTGCCGAGTGCTGTGTTAGAACTGGGGGCTCAGGCTGCTCACGCATTGCCCTGCAAGGGAGCCTGGAAACGGGGCTCACACGCTAACTGCGGGGCGAGGGGACGTAGTGGCCTGAGGGGAAAGCGCAGCAATGCCTCCGGGGCTTCCTCTGCTGCACACAAGGGCAAGCAAGCCGTGTTCTCCCTGAGAGGCAGGCTCGCCGGGGATTTGGTGACAGGCGAGCACTGTGACGCTCTCTCTGCCTCCGTCCCCAGGTGCTCCTGTGGTGCTCCTGTGCGTGATGCTCCCAGCTCCGGGTCCTCCGGGTGACTCGGTCCGCCGCATGGGGTGGGGCTGGGCGTGCACCTCCTGTTCAGGGCATACCCAGAGCAAGAGCTGTTGCCCCGCCTGCAGTCCGTCCGTCCGTCTCTCCTTGCCACGTCCATGTTCCGATGCAGAGTCCGGGGTGGGGGCTGGGGGCGGGGGCCACAGTCCCTGGGACCCTCGTGCCCCCTTTTCTGCTGAGCTGAGCCCTCCTACGTTTTGCTGTCCTGACAGTAGCATCAGGCCTGGCTCTCTCTCCCCTCTGCCTGAAGTCAGTCTCATTTCTAAAGCCCCCATCGGTGACTCCCCTGTCATCAGCCTGGTGTGTGGCTCATGACGCCAAGTTCTCAGGGGTGTTGGGGGTGCTATCATTTGTTTTAGTGGCTGCCCTCTGGATTCACAGACGCACGCACACAGAGACAGACCCGCGCACACACACACGCAGTCATCCACACAGATACACGTGCACACATGAGGCATCTGCGCACACACAGATACACATGTACAGACACATGTACATGCACACAAAGATACACATGCACACAGATACACGTGCACATAAATAGACGTGTACAAACACAGATACATGTGTATAAACAGAGATACACATGCACACACAGATACACATATACAGACACATGTACATGCACACAAAGATACACATACACACACACATGCACACACAGATACACATATACAGACACATGTACATGCACACAAAGATACACATACACACACATGCACACAGATACACGTGCACATAAATAGACGTGTACAAACACAGATACATGTGTATAAACACAAAGATACACATGCACACACAGAGACACATGCATACACACACTCATACAAACACAGACACATACACATACACAAATGCGCACACAGACACATGCACACACAGATACACATGAACATGAACACATACATGTACACATGCAAATGCACGCATAGACACACAGACACACATGAACAAACAGATATACCACATGCACACACAGAGCGTTCTTCTCAGGATGCGTTTGAAAGTGGCAGACAATGGTCCCCAACGTGTGCCATTTAAAAGCTTTCCCTCCAGAGGCCAGGATTCTCCCGTTTTGCATGGATGCACATTTATTTTATGTGGACGAACCGTAAACTGGAAGATCTACAAATACGAAACTTGCCGGTCCATAACGCGCTGGTCCATACCGCACACAGTGGCTCGATGATGCTGAGGGCCTGCCAGGCAGCATGGCTCTTCCCCGGAAGTGAAGGTCTCCGCCCGGAATGAGAGCCCCTCCAGGCAGACTCCTGAGAGGGGGCTCCTGGCTAACTGGAGAAAGCACTGTGCCCTCCTCTCAGAGGGAAGGGCTTTGTTCCACTACTTGGCAAGCTTCGCCCATAGGGCCAGGGAAGCTGCTGTGTCTGAAGAGATATCAGAATCCCCCAGCCGGCCCCCCCACCCCGTGAAAGGTGGCCTCAAGCTCGGTCACAGAGTGTTTTCCTCTGTTGAGCTGTCCCCCAGAGGGGAGGGAGCCAATGGCTTTCCTGTATGTGCTTGCTGTTTAGAAAGCCAAGCTCGGCCCAGCTGGCAACAAAGTCATCAGCCCCGCAGAGGACAGGAAGCCTTCCAACAACCTCGACCGAGTGAAGCTCACGGACTTCAACTTCCTCATGGTCCTGGGCAAGGGAAGTTTCGGAAAGGTAAGGGGCGGCCATGTGTCTGAGGAGGGGCAGGGGGAGCAGAGTGGATGAGAGTGGAGATTGTCGGTCCGTTCGGTGCTCGCCGGTGGCTCTGTTTGGGTTTCCCTGCGTCTCCCACTTCATCTCATCAAAAACAATGTATCCAGTCCTGGGACCAGAAGAACTAGATGGTGCCCGGCCACCACTATCACGTGCTCCGAAAGGGATCCCATCAGTAGGCCCCGGACAGAGTGGGCGAGCAAGGTGGACCCAAACCCCAAAGAAGAAAGGAGACCAGGCTGACTGGTCAAATAGAGAACTGGGGGGACCCATAAGGCCACCTGACCTTTCAAACCTGGGCCTGAACTTACCCCCAGGGCCGAAGTTTCAGCCTAACAATAGACAGTGGTAGGGGAGTAAGTGCCCCTTAGGATAATCAGCCATTTGAGATCCAGGGGGCAGCATTTGCCCAGGACCCAGTTCAGAAGGGCTAGGTGAGAGGGAGTGAAGAGGGTGGCCCAGGGAGGGGCTGCGTTGGGGGCGGGTGGGGGGAGCGGGGAGACGTGGCAGGAACAAATGGAACAGATAACGCATCAACTGGTAACAGCAAAGCTGAGGATCCCTCCGTAAAGCTTGCCCTCATTTCGATGGAGAAGAAACCTCCGCTCACACCACAGGAGAAAGAGAAGGCCGTTCGCTTCTGTAAAGATTGACAGCCTTGGACCCAGCAGGGCAGCACTTCTCTGTCCTGCTGGGCTGCTAGACGTTAGAGTCGCCCGGATGGGAGCTGGCCTCTCTAATTGGGGGCCTTTAGATGGCAGGGATGTGCAGCATTTCGAGTTCACCCCATAAAGCAAAGGCTCGTGGGTCATTTCATAACCACAGGTATACAAATGCGCATTCAATGGGTCTCTCCCGGGCCCCACCCTCCCCCAGCCCTCCCACCCGGGCAGCCGTCTGTTCCCTGAGCTTCAGGCTGCTCTCGGTCTGTCCCCAGGTGATGCTGGCTGACCGGAAGGGCACGGAGGAGCTGTATGCCATCAAGATCCTGAAGAAGGACGTGGTGATCCAGGACGATGACGTCGAGTGCACCATGGTGGAGAAGCGTGTGCTGGCCCTGCTGGACAAGCCGCCCTTCCTGACGCAGCTGCACTCCTGCTTCCAGACTGTGGTGAGGACCCCGGGCCTCCCAGCTCGCCTCCAGCTGGGGGAACACTGGGGGACCAGGCACTGTCCGGGGAGCCAGCCCTGGTGGGGTCGTGGTTGTCAGCGGGGCTGCTAAACTGTGAGGCTGTCAGTTTGAAACCACCAGCCAGCTCCACAGAAGACAGAAAGGGCTTTCCCGGGAGACGTGAATGTTTTGAGATTTTTAATCATTTTATGGGAGATCTGTACAACTCTTATCACAATCCATACAAACATCCTTTGTGTCAAGATGTGAATGTTATATCAATAAAACTGTTCCTTAAAAAAAGAGAGAGAGAGAGAGAGTTACAGTCTCAAGAACGCACAGGGCTGTTTCTGCCCTGCCTGGCGGCGTCGCTGTGATGACAGCAAGTTTAGTGAGAGGCTCTTCTCTGAGACCCAACTACAAACATGACAGAACGGTCCAAATAAGACAGACAGCCGCCCTGTAAAGCGACGGCTTCCCAATCAGGCTCTATCCACTATCAACGAGCCGCAACCAGCAGGCTCCTTAAAATCAAAGATGGCGAGACTTCCGCTTCCCTCCCTGGGGCATGTTGGCAGGAAAGAGCAGCTCTGTGGGGAGGCCATCGTGCTTGGTAGAGGGTGAGTGCCGGGACAACCCCCAGGGAGATGGGTGGACATCATGGCATTGACATTAGCCTGGCTCTTTAAAACAGCCAGTCAGGCCACCACTCACTGCATTGTCAAGGTAGGAGACTGGATTGTCCAGGAGTGAGCCTGGAATTGCTGAATGGCGCGTAGCAGGCATTGGTACAGCGGGACCCGTGGCATATTTTGTATCATCAGTGAGGCCAGGGTGGAAAGAGCCCGAGTGGAAGACCATTTCCTGGCATGCGGAAATTAGATGAAGGTTGCACTTGAGTACCCATTAAAAGTATGAATGCCACTGCCATTGAGGTGCTGATTCTGACTGGCAGCCATCCTATGGGACAGGGTCGAGCAGCACCCAGGGTTTCTAAGGCTGTAGCTCTTTACAGGACAGGCAGCCCCATCTGTCCATGCAGAACGGCTGGTGCTGACCCTGAGAGTCAAGCCCAGCGTGGTCCGTTGGCGCACAGTGTCCCCACGCATTTACCTGTCACAGATGGCTGCTTCCAGCCCACAAAGACAGGGCAGGCGAGGGTGGGCCTGCGAAGCCTAAGACATTTCCTTTCTGGCCCTTGACAGAGGTTTGCTGGCTGACCCTGTCCTATAGTACAACTCAGCAGAGGGCGAGCCAGGCCCTAGGGCACGGACCCGTCAGCAGTGGGGACAAACCTGTGGCCTGCAGGGAAAAGAGACTTTAGCGCAGTCCATGGACACGCTTCCACCCCTCAGAGGCCGTCCTTTCTGAGACAGGCCTCAGAAACCGGGAACCACCAGGGTGCCTCAAAATGCTCGCAGGGGGCGGTGGGGCTGGGGTGGGGGAGAGAAAGCTATGCACTTTTCATTCCGTTTTCCCATAAGCTTCAAAGAAGCCCCGTCGTAATGGCAGCTACATAGCAGTGGTGGTTCAGTGCTCCACCCAAGAGACCTGGTTCAATTCCCAGCCAGTGCCCCTCACGCACAGCTGCCAGCCCTGTGTGTCAGCCGGAGGCTCCTGGGTGGCTGGGGTGCTCAACGGGTGCCAGCGGAGCTTCCGAGCTAAGACAGAGGAGGGAGAAAGGCCTGGTGACCTGCTTCCCCAAATGAGCCACTCAGAAACCCCACAGGCCACACTAGGCCAATCTGAAAGCCATCAGTCACGGTGTTGATGCAAGCTCCCAGGCCACATGTTGTCCCAGTGTGTCCAGGTGTGTGACCGAAGTTATCAACAGCAGCATGGTTACTGCTAGGGTCACGCGTAGTTCTCCACGTCCCCTTGGTGGGACAGTGATACTCTAGTTTCCCTTAATGCTTTGTGAGGCATGGTAGCCACCAGCTTGCTGCAGCCTGTCCAGTGTGGAGCTGCGGAGGTAGGTGACGACCACCAGGTGGCAGCCTCCTCCCAGCTGCTCCCCCCACTCTGACTCAGGCCCCTCCTGGGGACAAGGAGCAGTAAGCTAGGAAGGGAGCCAGGACCCTGCGCCCCCGTGACGTCCCCGAGGGCCACAGAGGACGGAAGTCAAGATGAAACTTGAATTGCTCTCAGGAGAGCCAGCGGCCAGCAGCAGCGTGGCCACATCCCCTCCCTGTGTGACGCTTTCACGTTGAAACGCCTCCACGAGAGGGTGAGGGTGTCTAGAAGGGAGCAGAGGTCGGCTTCCCCCTGGCTTGTTCTCTACCTAGTTGCTTTGCTGGTTGACCTGAATCGCCCCAGCTGTCCGAGCTGTGTGGTGCTGTGATCTATGCCCTTCCTGGGGGCTGGCTGTCCTTTAGCACACCGGGCACGGAGAACAAGCAACAGTGAGTGATATTGGGGCAGATCGTGGAAGCACCGAGAACGCTGGGCTCGCCTCCGGGTACCCTCGCAGGCAGACCGCCACTGTGGATAGCACTGTTCGTGTAGCATCCATGGCCCAGCGGCTGGTTCACTCTTCTGAGGCTGCTAATGATACGCTGGTGTCAGCCGCCCCCACCCCCGCCCCAACCCCTAACACTACAAACTGGTTTTATCCCCCCCGGGGGGCCTGTGGATTCTGTGTGCAGGAGAGAAGGGGCACACGCGTGTGCTAGAGCAGGAAGTGTGTGTAACCACTAGGGGGGCAGTGGCTCCATCCTTCCCAAGGCCTTCCTACCATCCGGTTTAGCACAGAATCCCTTGGGTGGGTTGGGGGAAAGAGGGGCCTATTAACGGCTCCACATTGCACCGGTTTTACTAATGAGCAAGAGAATCAGAGTCTAGAAAAGGGGTGCAACCTGCCCAGGAGCCCCCCCGCCCCCCCTCACACCCTGTCCCTTGGTCCCCAGGACCGGCTGTACTTCGTCATGGAATACGTCAATGGTGGAGATCTCATGTACCACATCCAGCAAGTCGGGAAATTTAAGGAGCCACAAGCAGTGTGAGTAGCAATCTTTTGATTGTTTAAAAGCCTCTTCACTTGGGTGACACAGACTCCCAACGGGAGTCCAGAGGAGGGACTCAGTAGGGGCAAGTGTGCACCCACAGCATCTTCATTTCCCTGACGGGGAGCCACAGTTCCAGGAGTAGACAGCCTCAGCTTTCTCCCAAGGAGCAGCTGGTGGGTTCGAACCACTGACCTTGTGGTTAGCAGCACAGTGAGAGGTTTTTAAATGCCTAGCATCCAGCAGTCCCTGGAGTCCCAGGAACCACAGGTGATGCCGGTGACAGGGATTCGGCTGGTGTTCCCATCAGCAGAGGCATCTACGGGATGTCTGGCCTGAGCAGTGGCTGCAGGGAGGACTCCTGTACTTCTGTTTATTTGTTGGTGTCCCCAAAGGCCTGCCCTTCTCGCATGGAGTTGTTAGTCGGGCAGGATTCGAGGGCTCAGATCACAAGGCACAGCTCAATTCCACAGCTCCCTGAGGAGCCCAGGGCAGCCCTGATGGCCGAGCGCAGCCCTGAGCTCTGTGACGGAGGCTGGTCCCGATCTCCTCTCCTCCTGTGTGCGTGGCAGGACAGCTTTGCTTTAAAACTTCCGGGAAGCTCACGGAAAGCATGTGGTAGTCACTGCCCCATCCTCCTTCCAGCCTCAGCAGGGCCCCTCCCTCCTGCTATGAGTTCAGTCTTTAATGTTGTGGGTTCTGTCTTCCATTCAGGGTTAGCCTGGCGTCTGGCTTTAACCATCCTGGGGGTGATCTTTGTTCAGGCACAAGCCTTGTGGCTTCTCAGACTTTGGGGGACTCCTGAGTGCTGGGCATTTTGAAACCTCACCCTGAGCTGCTGGCCTCGGGGTCAGCAGTTGGAACCTATCAGCTGCTCCATGGGAGAAAGATGAGGTTGTCCACTCCTGTGAAGGTTTCAGCCTCCGGACCCAGGTCACTCAGAGCTAGGAGTCAGAAACAACTGAACAGCAGTGGGTTTTGAGTTTGGCCAGCGTTGAATCCAAGTTTCTGAGAGGCCCCTATGGACAAATTCTTCTTAACTCTTGATAACCAGTGTGGATGACCGTTTGCAAAGCAGACCATCAGTCTTACATTCAACCATTCTTCCACTTTTTGTTTCAACTCATCCCATGCAGCTCCCTCAGCATCCCCTCAAGTCCCCACGTCCCCCCTGCGTTTCCCGTTTCCTTCCCTCCTTTTTTTCCAACCCTCTGACCTTTGTCCTGGGGTCAGAGGTTGATGGCTCTAACGTGCAGGGAGGAGTTCTGTTCCGGGATGAAAGGTGACTACGGGCCATCTCACCGCCATGGAATGGATTCCCACTCATTAGCGACCCTAGGCCTCATCCTGCAGATCCCACCCGTCTGTTGAAGCTCAAGTCCTGCCCTGACTTTCCCACCCACTCTCTCTAGGACCCTCTAACACAGCGGTTCTCAACCTGTGGGTCACGACCCCTCTGGGGGTCGAATGACCCTTTCGCAGGGCTTGCCCGTTTCATGACACTAGCAAAATGACCGTGATGAAGGAGCAACAAAAATAATTCTGTGGTTGCGGGGGTCACCACAACAGGAGGAGCTGTAGGAAAGGGTCACGGCACAAGGAGGGTTGAGAACCACCGCTCTGACAGAATCCTTTTCTGAGCCACCTGTGGACAGCTCTGACTCGAGGGGCTTGGCTGCTTGTCTTTTTCAGTGGGTTCATGGGAAAGGGCAAGCATGGGTGGCTGTGTCACTGAGGAGGGGTGAGCTCACCAGCTAAGGAGTGGCTTGGCACCCTATCTGCCAGGCGGTGGTGAAAGGCCCCACCCCTGGATGCAAAGAATCGTCTGGACGTAGAATAGCCTAGTAGACAGGCCCTCTGTCCAAGCTTGCACTAGGAGCAGTGGATCACCTGTCCACCTGCCCTAGACAGGCAGGACTTATTCCCGGGCCCGTCTCCCCACTTTCATCCGCTGCGTTAGCAGGTGTGTCACCATATGCTGGGGACGCTGGAGTCCTGAATTGGAGGAGAGGCGGCCAGGGAGTCAGAAGAATAAGTGTAGGGCAAGGCGGATCTCGGCTGCAGCGTTCCGAAGCCTCGGCTCGAGGGAGGAAGTACGGGGTGGGGGTGGGGGCCTCCGGGGAGCATGGGGGACACCCAAAACCCTGCCCATTCAGTGCCGTCCTTCATTGTTTCTTGCAGATTCTACGCAGCAGAGATTTCCATCGGCTTGTTCTTCCTTCATAGAAGAGGCATCATCTACAGGTGCGTGCTCTGATGCTCTTCTCCTCCGCGTCGCACGGGGGGTTCCATGGCCCTCTGGGGCCCCGGATTCTGTGGGGGTGACTTAAGATTCGGGGTTGGTGGCCTTTCTGTGCTGCCTTCAGGCCTCAGAGATGTCGCATCTCATTTCTGCTTCCTACCAGAAAACTGTGTTCTTCTCCCACTGGGAGCTCCTGCCTCCCTCTGCTGTAGGTGCTCAGCAGGAGAAGGGGAGAGGCAGTGGGGAGATGTCGGCTTCAGTTCTTCCGGCCCTCAGCAGTAGTGGAAGTCTGCTGCCTGAGCCAGGAGAATGGTCACCAGGATTAACTGGAGACTGCCGGATACAAATGGGGCCCTGTGCAGGATGCGGGGACCCATGCAGGATCCAGTGAAATGAGTGGTTGTAACACCCGGATCTGGGAAACCTCCCTGGGTGCCGGAACCCCCAGGCAGCCTATAAATACATCAAATGACAAGGGCGCCTCTCCTCCCACTGACAGCATTGGAATCTCTGGTGCGTCTCATGCAAGGCCAAGTTCGGGCGTCGATCCGTTCATCCAGCATGTGTTGATTATGTGCCATGTCCCGGGCATTGTGCCTCTGGAGATAGGAAAACACGGTCATTGGTGTTCCCTGTACTAGGGGCCCCTCGGGCAGAGAGCCAGTGTAACCCACGTGGGTCTCAGCCGCAATGTCTCGGGCAGGCCCTGAAACTGGCCTCTTCCCTGTAGGGATCTGAAATTGGATAACGTCATGCTGGATTCGGAAGGGCACATCAAGATTGCCGACTTCGGGATGTGTAAGGAGCACATGATGGATGGCGTCACCACCAGGACCTTCTGTGGGACCCCAGATTACATCGCCCCCGAGGTAAGGGGACCCCTGTTCTGCAGGCATGCACGGCTGCCCTCTCCAAAGTGCACTTGGAACCCACCCACGGGGCACACCACCGACGCTGACGCGTCTCTGCTCCGACGGGAGGGCCGCTGAGTCAGAGGCTGTGAGAATGGAAGGATCCACTGTCTCCAGGGTCTCTAGCTTTCCGTATAGGCACAAGGGTGCACCTCGAAATAAGCGACAGACGCAGGGAATCTTCCTTCACAAAATACAGCAACTGTGAAGCTGTTGCCTCTTGGCACCTCCTCCATGTAGGTCTAGACCAAATTTGCGGCCTGGCTTTCGAGTGGATTCCGACCCATAGCACCCTGATAGGGCTGCTAACCGCAAGGTCAGCGGTTCGAAACCACCAACCAAGGGAGAAAGACAGGACTTTCTCCTCCCATAAAGAGTGACAGTTTGAGCAACTCACATGGGGGCAGTCCTACCCCGTCCTGATGGGTCGCTGTGAGTCAGGATCTCCTCGATGGCAATTGAGTTGGGTTTTGTTCGGTTAGTTGCTTGGTTTTGAGGTCTGTACAGTTCCCAAACTGGTATTTCCATCTCTCTGACCTTTCCCCGAAGAACTCTGTTGGGCATCCTTAGGGGACTCTCTTTGTGTTTCTTTGAAATCGTGTTCTGGGAGTTTGGGGACCACGAAGAAGCCTGAAGGGGCGAGGTCAGGGCTGCAGGCAGGGTGGGGCCCAGTGCCTCAGTCAGATCCTCACAGGGCAGCCCTGACAGCGAATGAGCTGGCAGGTTGTCCCGATGGAGAACCAGCCCTCAGCACCACTTCCCCCGGCCTTCTCCCCGAGACCATTTTGGAACTTCTTTATAATAAGTCTGCTTGACCATCCTGTGTCCTTTAAGGAAATCTCTAAGGTGTGCTCCTTTGGAATAAGAATAATAAGAAGAAACAATGGCAACCTTCTGAGCTGACTTCTCTGCCTAGCATATGACCGAGCCAGCAGATCCCCAGAAAGACCTTTGTTTTCATTGGGCCTTATTTTGAAGCTCCCTAGGGATCTAAAGCAAGAGTGTTTCTGATGGCACTTGTCTGCCGCCACCCCCGATGGCAGACAGCTGTAACTGGTGGTGTTGGAATGACCCCTGAACCAGCACTGGAGCCCAAGTTGCAAGCCAGGTGGATGTGAACTGGTCGTATAGTAGATGTTGTGTTAGTCTGGGTAGATCAGGGAAACAAATCCACAGAAACAAATATGTGTAAGAGAGAGTTTTATATAAAGGGTAAGTGCACATCAAGAAAGCATCCCACCCAGACCGTGCAAGCCCATAAGTCTGACATTAGCCCATATGTCTGACACCAATCTACAAAGTCCTCCTCCATCTCACAAAATACACACAATGACGCCGACTGCAGGAGGAAAGCCGAATCAGTGAGCGTGTAAGCATCTCAGCGTGTAAGCATCTCAGCGCTGTTAGGGATCTCCACGCAGCTGTCCCAGCACCCAGGGCTGCATCGGGGTAAGTCCATGTGGCTTCTCAGGGAAGTCCAGCAGGAAGCGAGCCTTGCCAGCTGAAGCAGGGAATTGGCTAAGGCAGCTGCACCCTGGTCCGACCATCAGAGAGCAAGAGACCCGAGAACTAGAAAGGCGAGGCTCACTGAGCCATTTATCCCTCTGCCCTTCAATTAATCCCACATGTGTTTATCGGCCAGGTTGGCACAGTAAACATTAACGATCTCTGGTGTCTTGCTGACATTGGTCACGGTGAAGTCCGTGTAGGAGACTCCTCCTGGGCTGAGAAGAGGGTGAGAGCTGCTTGTGGGATATCCTGTGTGGGAAAAGCTGGGCTGGAAGGTGATTCCAATGCTGGCTTTTTGGTCCAATCAAGAGTGGCCAGAGCTACTCTTATAGGACAGGACTGGCGTCACGACCAGCCAAGCGTCTCCAAAACTGCCTGTCTCTAACCTGCACCACGCCGTCTTTGTTCCCTGACATCTTGGATCATTGTCTGTCTTCTGTGTACAGCTTCTTACTTGCGAGGAGAGGCCGGGCTGTTGCCCTGGGTCATGGTCTCATAGACACCCTGCCACCCCACAGGCCTGTGGATGCAGGGCTCTGTGCTGCCTGAGTCCCAGCGTGGTGGAAGGGTGGGGTTCACGGTGGTGGTGGGTCTCCGGTGCCATCGACAGCATCTCAACTCATGATGACCACATGCACATAGTACGCAATGCTTCCCAGCCTCACGGCCACTGCTCTGTGGGAGCCCACTGCCGCCACTGCTGTGCCAGGCCATCTTGTCAGGCTGTGTGAGTCCGGGTAGACTAGAGAAACCAATTCATAGACACTCAGGTGTGTATAAGAGAGAGTTTTATATAAAGGGTAATTGTACATTAAGAAAGCATCCCAACCCAGTCCAGTCCAAGCCTATAAGTCCAATATTAGCCCATATGTCCAATACCAATATATAAAGTCCTTTCCAGACTCACAAGCACATCCAATGACCCTGAGTGCAGGGCAATCACAGGCCAGTGGGTAGAAAGTCTTTGGATCCAGTGGGGTTGTAAGCATCTAAGGGCTGGCAGGGGTCTCTGCGTGGCTTCTCCAGCACACAGGGCTGCATCATTGTAGGTCCATGTGGCTTCTCCTCAGGGATGTCTTGCAGGAAGTCAGCCTTGTCAGTAGAGCGTCTCCAATGGAGTGAGTCAGGAGAGAGGGTTAGTGTCTCCCACCTCCAAAGAGGAAATGCCAGACTTTTTCCAGAATCCTCAGCGGAAGGCCATGCTCACAGAGGCCTCATTGGCCGTGACCCGATGGACAGACTAGACTCCACCCCTTTGCTCTTAATCCTCTCAAGTCCCAAATTGACACCAGATGGTGTAACCACCACAGGGGCCTTCCCCTCTCTCCCCGTCCCTCCACCTTACCAAGCACGAGGGCCTTCGGCAGGGACTGGCCCCTGCTGACCACACGTCCAGAATATGGGAGATTGATCTCGCCTGCCCCCAACACAGCATCCTTGCCGTTCTCCAACACCGATCTGCTTGGCTGCCCAGTGTGTGGATTACTTTTTCCCAGCGTTGCAGGTTGAAGGCTTCAGTAGCTCTTGGGTCTTCCTCACACCTAGCTGTTGGTGGCAGATATGGCAGTTGGGTGGAGCACGCTCCGTGCACCCACCCGGCTAGGAGCCCGGGCCTAGACGCTCAGCCCCTGCACGTCGGTCCTGCCTCTGTGGTTCAGAGGCTGTGGGGACTCTGACAAGCGACTTAACTTCGCTGATCCCCATGTCCAGGGCGACGCATTGAGGATGGGAGCAGCCCCCCTGTGGACGTCCTTGGAGGGCTCAGTGCCTGCGACCACACCGTGCACCTAGTGGGCCCTCAGTTGTCACTAGGTGGCCAGCTGCTCACCTAGAGGTGGCTCTGGTTCACCCAGGGGCTCCAAGGGAGAAAGAGCTGGCTGTCTCCTTCCAGAAACTCAGGCACCGAAGGCCTGACGGAGCCCAGCGTGGCTCTCACTCGTCGGAGGTTGCCACAGGTCAACACCGGTTCTGTTCTGCGGGGTTTGCTTTTTGCGGGTTTGTGTTTGATCAGCTCTAGAACAGAAATGAACTTGCATTCATTCCTTTGTGAAGGACCTCTGGTTGGTTTGAGACAGCCCTAGACGGCGCAGAGACAGTCTCATCTTCCTCCCGAGGCACGGCTGGGAGCTTCGAACTGGCGGTTAGCAGCCCCACCGTGTCTGCTACACCAGCAGGGCGCCCGCCAGGCTTCACGTTAGGCACGTAGATTCAGATTCACGTGGCCAAACGTGACACCTCCTCTCAACATGTAGCATGTTGGGGCGGTCTCCTCCCCCCACCCCTGCAATCCCCATCCCAAGGACCCACATGTCGGTCCCGGCAGGCAGGCCTAAAGAGGAAGCTTAAAAGAGGCCTATTTTTCAAACGCGAGGAACAGGGAGACGGCACGGTAAGACCCAGCTCATCCAAACACGGCATTTATTCTGAAGCCAGTGACCGGCTGACAGGCACTGAGCGGCTGTGATTATAAGCCGAGCTGGCCCTGTTTAACACCCGCCAGGCACGGCGAGAGCTCGGGCACAGGGCATGGCCGCATTGTTAGGGACAAAGGGCGCTCTGAAGTTCATCTGCATGAGGCCAGAACAGGGAAACGCTACTCGATCCTAAGCCCAGCTCGTGATCATGGGTGCCTTTGAGCCCGCTGCAGTGGTCACTGTGCCGGTGCACCTCACTGAGGGCCCCCACCCCCACCTTTCACTAGCTCACTGCACATGAGGATGTCCATCTCCACCAACTAGTCCTTCTTGCTGACTCGTCCCAGGGGCATGGACCAAAGTCCGAGGCAGGATCCTGCTACCCATGCCGTTTTCCTTGGCCAACTGTCGGGGGCCAAGGGCCGGCCTTTCTTCCTAGTCTGTCTGTCGGTGCGCCGGAAGGCTCCGGTGAAATCTGTTTCAGGCATGGCTGACGCTGCTGGTGTTTGAAATGCCAGGGGCCTAGCTTCCAGCATGGTAGGCACGTGCCAGCCACCCCTCTGGGACAACCTGGGAGAAGGGTGTTGGCAAGTACAGAGGGCACAGTGCTCTCAGGCTCATACCCCCAGGTGTCTGTTCTCCGGGTAGTACAGGAGCTGACCGGGAGCAGGCCTCGCTGGCAGGGTAAGACATGCCGGGATGGAGCTTCTCTCCCATGGAGCCACTAGGCCATGAGAGCATTCTGCTCTCTGACTGTGCCCGGCATGGCCCCTGCCCTCCAAGGCTCACCCTCGCCCGGGGGCGGCACCCCACCCCCACCCACAAAGTAGCCGAAACCACAGGTCCCAAGGCCCCTGAGATGAGAAAAATGAAACCCGGCTGCTCGGGAAACTGAGTGCGCCACCGTCCTTCTCGTTTTCTTGTGTGGTTCCCTCGGACTCATTCAGGCACTTGGCACCTGAACCCCTGGAGCGAATGCGGCGTCCAAGAGAGCAGGTTTCTGAACTGTTCAAAGGTCAAACAATCCTTTCCTCT